GATGGGGATGGGAATGGGGATGGAGATGGGAATGGGGATGGGAATGGAGATGGGAATGGGGATGGGAAAGGGGATGGGAATGGAAATGGGAATGGGGATGGGAATGGGGATGGGGATGAGAATGGGAATGGGGATAGAGATGGGAATGGGGATGGGGATGGGAAAGGGGATGGGGATGGGAATGGGGATGGGAATGGGGATGGGGATGGAGATGGAAATGGGGATGGAGATGGAAAGAGGATGGAGATGCACCCACAGAGCCTTCTCCTCCAGCATCCCTATTGCTCCAATTCTCCCGGGAGCCCCACACTCCAGCTCTGCACCAGGCTGGCAGCGCAATTGGGTGGGAAGCGGGACACCTCCGACCTCTCCCCTGTCTCTCCCCGTCACCGGGAGAGCAAATTGCTCCTTGATCCCAGGTTCTTTTCCAGTTCTTAGCACCGCGTTAAGCCCCAGTCCCAATCCTGAGCCCTCCAGGGGAGCCAAGCTCCTGGAGCAGGATGCAAGCCCCTCGGCATCCCAATGCCCCCCGTCCCCTCCCACCTGCTCTCAGGYAGGAGAATTCCGAGGATCCTGCTGCCCCCGGGCTCTGGGCCCTTCCCAAGGCCAGGGAGACACTTCCCGGACACTGGATCCCGTCCGGCATCGACCCCTCCAGCTCACAGTCTCATTCCCAGAGGGGCTGTGCTGGGAGCCCACTGAGCCATGTACCCATGGAGCAGCTCCAGGAGGAGATGGAGCATCCCGGCAGCGCCATTCCAGCTCGGAGCCGGGTGCCACCTGCTGCGCCGAGCCCCAGCACGTGCCGGCTCCGAGGACGCTGCCCCGGGATCGGGTCGGAGGCTGCTCRTGGAGGGACACGGCCCAGAGAGACACCAAGATCCACCCCCACCAAGGTGGTCCTCAAGGAGCAACGCGTCGCTGGTCCCACCATGGTCCATATTGGGTGGCATTGGTGGGACGGGACATCTWGGTGGGATGAGCATCCAGGTGGGACGAGTGTGGAATGAGACGCGGCCCCATGGAGAGGGGTGGGTGCCACGGCAGGGGATAGAGGTGACAACCGTGTGGGGAGGGGGACGAAGCCGCCCACCCGCCCCTGGCGCCGCAGCGGCGCTGGGGAGGGGCCCCGGCGTCCGAGCGCTGTCACCGCGGGGGGAGCCGCTGTCACCTGGCAGCGGTGACCCCCCTGCTGCAAACGGCCCCGCCGAGCCCCCCCGCGCCCCCCCCGGCCGCACTTACCTGCATGGCGGGGGCGCCGGCGCAGAGCAGCAGGACGAGGCAGGGCAGAAGCCGCATCCTGC